CCCAAAGCCAATTCTTTTTTTAAAGAGAGTTTGTATCATTCTATAAGAAACCAAAAAAGTTAAGAGTTTTTAAGAGTTTTTCCTGACACTCTGAACAAAACGTTTTAATTTGAATTTTATTTAATATATATATATATATATATATATATATATATATATATATATATATATATATATATATATATATATATATATATATATATATGTAGTTATTAAAGACAAGGTTTTAATCGATAAGAATGAATCTCTTCAAAGTTTACTTTTTGATTACATTTTAGAAGTTAATCAAACAGACTTGCGTTCTTCTAAACAATATAAAAGTATACTAAAAATAAAGAAAAATTTTATTCAAAATTTAAAAAAGAAACTTTATAATCATAATCGACAACGTGATCGCTTTGAAATAAAGAAACAAGTTGGCTTGAATCCGATCTAGTTATTCTAGAAAAATTAGAAGAACATTCAACTTTTAATGACATAACTTATCAAAATGAAAAGAAAACACCTGGGAGAAAATGCCTTGAATGGGAACAATCAAGCAGCAGAACAAAAAGAAGAAAGAGTGAAAAAATGGGAACAAATCATACTTATGATGAGTTGATCTTATCTGCTATAGTAAGTTCAAGGAAAAGTCAATGCTATAGTCTGTGTTTTACTTTAAACCAATTAGTTTCTTCTCTTAGTTAACCCAATAAAGTAGCTAATATGATTAAAAATGAAAAGTCTATTATAAAATTATTTCCAAAAGAAGTTTTGGGTTTGATGGTCTCAGCTGATTTTTTCCGAAGAGCTTATCAGAAAATAAGGATTACAGCTAAGGAAAGAAATGCAAATATATATCTTTTGTAGAGCAATATTTTATTAGCTACAAAAGAATGCTATTCTGACGGCATTATATTTAGTGAGAAAAGTGTTGAACTTAAACCACAAAGTCTTCTTGATTACACAATAATCCGTTTTTTTAATCATAAATCAAATTATGCAACTAGAGAATAACGATAAAACAAAAGGAATGTCAAATTGTAAATAGGAGTTTGATGGCGCACCTGGTGAAAGCGAATATAAACAAAAATTTGACAATGATAGTTCGAAAGACTCTAATTTATTTAGTACTACTATAGTTCCGTTGGATCTTTCATTTGGAAACATTCCTAAACCATCGTCAATTAGATTTTGTCGACCAATACGAGTTCAATATCTAAAGGAATCACAAGCTAGTTTGAAATTTGAAAAAGAATATATTCAAAATCAAATAAATTTACAAGAGAATTCAGGGTTTGAGTTAATAACTGGTTCAGAAGTAACTGTAACTAAAGTTAAATTTAGTTTAAAATTAACAATGATTGACAGTAAGGCTGCCAATGCAATATCCTCAATTTCTTTACAACAAGTTTGTAATATATGTTCAGTTTTTCCAAAACAAATGAATTCTATTACATGTGGCTCAATACCAACTCCAACTGCATGCTCGGATAAGGTGTTTTGATTGTTTGTAACACATTTCTTACAGACTTGAAATAAAAAAATGGCAAATTCGTGGTAATGACAAAGAAGTTTGTGAAAAAAAACAACAAATTATATAAAGTAAATTCATTGAAGAATTAGGTTTAAGAGTAGATTTTTTTAGGCAAGGTGGTTCGGGAACTTCAAATGATGGTAATACTGTCAGACGAGCATTTAAACATTTTAATTTATTTTTTTCTATTACAGGCATAGATAAAGAATCAATAGAACATTTAGCAAACATTTTGAACATAATAAATTCAAGTTATGAGATTGATACAATAAAATTCAGTGAATATTGCAATAAAACAGCAAGGCTTTATTGTGAGAAATATAATTGGTTTTATATGCCTGTATCTATGCATAAGTTATTGCTTCACAGCTCTGAAATAATTTCAAAGTTCTTGTTGCCAAATGGATATTATTCAGAAGAAGCTAGAATTTCAAAAATCTAGAAATAAAGATAATAAACAATTCAGACTTTACCATACAAGAAAAGATACAAGACTCCATACAATTGAGGACCAACTTCACTATCTTCTCATTACAAGTGATTCAATAATATCAACTATAATAATTTCTCAAGATAGAAGTTAAAAATTCAATTATCAAAAAGTGCTCTAGAACTTGTTAAAAAATCAAATATAAATACCATTGATGAAATCCAAAGTGATAATGAAACTGATAATGAGTACAATGAGTATGACAATGAAGACGAAGATGAAGAAAATTATGAATTAGTTACTGATAAAATAGATTACGAAGATGTATATGAACATAATGAATAGAACGATGATGCTGATATATTTATTTTTATGATTATTTTTCAATTTATGTGAAATATAAAACGTTTAGATCATTTTAACTAATTATTTTCGAAATTTTTTATTTGATTTTTAAAATAATAATTAGTTTAAAACATAGTTAGTTAGAATTACTCAGGGACAAGGTGGTGGGAAGGGGGGCCATAGTAAAATTAGCTTCCTCCTGCCGGTATTTAACCCTTTTAAAAAAATTTTGAATTTTTTTTTGTCTACTTTTTTTATATCTTAGAGTTAATTTTCTGCAATTTTGAATAAATATTTTTGACAAAATTAATTTTGGCCTTACTTTAAGTTATTCCTGATCTCTGTGCAACGTTTGCAAAATGTTTTGGCGCACTTAACCCGATTCGCACATATGCTAGTTCGCACTTATGCCAGTTTTTGCAACGCTTCGCACTTATGCCAGTTCGCACATATGCCAATTCGCGCTTATGCCAGTTCGCGCTTACGCCATTCGCACCTATGCCAGTTCGCACTTATGAAATTCACGCTTATTCAGTTATCCCTTTTAATCCAGTGTTTTTTAATAAATTACCAAGTTTTAATAAAAGTATTTTTAAAAAATTATTATTTTTGTAACAGTTTTTAATTTATTTTTGTAAGTTAATAACTCAACTTACATAATTTAAAGTATAAAGCTGAGAAATATTATTTTAAAATATATAGTTATTTTGCTTTATTTAAAAGGTTTACCTTTTCAAATACTCTGCCGCTATTGGTTGCAAAATTTTTTTTTTTGAATGTGCCTTCAAATCAACGCCTTTTAAGTTTTTTAAGTTAAACTTTCTCAAGCACGATCTTGAAATTTTCAAGTTTAGTTCACTCTTTTGCTCAAGTTTTTTTTTTGAAGTCTGACAAAGTTATACTTAAAAGATTTAGGGTGGAATGCAAGAAGCAAACTTGAGTCAAGCTCGACTTGAACTTTACATTGCAACCAATAGCAACAGAGTATGGGTTTTTCCCTCAAAAAATACTCTGCCGCTATTGGTTACAAAGTAAAGTTTATGTCGAACTTGACTCAAGTTTGCTTCTTGCATTCCACCCTTAGTCGAACTTCACTTACAGTGTTGGCGAAAAGTATTGCAACTTTTCTAAATTTAACTTTTTTATAAAATTCGAAATGAATTTAATGTTTATATATCATATATTCATACTAAAATGATAAAACCAAACAGCAGCACACTATGTAAACATAAAATTATGACGTCATTATAGTTAAACGTGCTGCGTTATAGATTTTTCTTACGAAACCATACTTGGGAATAGCATAGAAAACTTTCATTTTTTTCGCTTTTTGAGAAGTATAGTTTAATCATAATGGGTCAGGCAAAGGAGATTTCACCAAGAAAATGTTCGATTATTATTCAATATTCGAAGGAAATGAGCAGCCGTGGCGCAGTGATTAGAGTTCTGGCTCAGAACCCAGAGGTCCGAGGTTCGACGCCAACTCCAGCCCAACAAGCGACATTGGTACAGAAGGAGGCGTGAACTTCCTGTTAAATGCTCTCCCGTGGTGCTCTATGATAAGACTGTAAGGACTTCTAGGAGCACCTAAATACATACAAAAAAAAAAAAAAAGGATGGTATGAAGCAGCGAGATATTTATAAGAAATTGTGTTTAACTAAGTCTTTAGTTAGTCGAATAATTAAGAAATACAAAGCTTCCGGTTCAGCATCACTACTGAAACGTTCTGGACAACCCAGAGTAACAACAACACGTGATGACTCTCTAATCCGACGCTCTGCAGTCAGAAATCCGACTTATTCAAGTCTTAAAATAAAACTAGACAGTGGTTGCGGTGCGAGCACACGAACAATACGTGAACAACTGTGTTCGTTTGGTTTAAGAACTCGACGTCCATCCCACAAACCTCTGCTATCTAAGCAGCAGCGACAGAAAAGAGTTCAGTTTTGTATCAAATATAAGGACTGGAATGCAGAAAGATGGTCCAAGGTGTTGTTTTCCAACGAGTCTTCATTTCTGAAGTTTGGATCTCTCACGCAGTATGTACGTAGACCAGTTGGATCTCGAGATGTTATTGGTTACACCTTGCCGACAGTTAAACATTTACTCCAAATTATGGTTTGGGGATGTTTTTCAGCAATGGAGCGAGGGTCTCTATTCTTTATACCAGCAAAACAGATGGTAAACTCCGTTGAATACCTAAAGATTTTAAATTCATAACTACCCCTAGCCATGCGCTTGCATTGTTGTGAACTGTTTCAACAAGACCCGGCACCATGTCATACCAGTCGAGTTGTAAAAAAATGGCTAACTGACAATGGGATTCAAGTTCTGGACTGGCCAGGCAACAGTCCAGATTTGAATACCATTAAAAATCTGTGACAGTGATGAAAAGAAAAGTAATAAAATATTACAGCAAAAGCATTAAAGAACTCATTTACAACATTAAGAAGGTGTGGTGCACCGAAATCACCCCGGATCTTTGTCAAAAACTGGTTCAGTGGATGCTAAACCGTATCAAATGTGGGTTGAAAAACATGGACAGCTTTCTAAGTACTAGATATTTATATATGAACACTTCTTTTAATAATACTCTTGTGTATTTGTTTAATGTATGTTTTTTTAAAAAAGTTGCAATACTTTTCGCCAACACCGTAAGTGCATTCTTGCATTCAACCCATAGGTTGCTTTCTTGATCACGTTACGTCATTTCATCGTTACTAAATTTACGGTGAGGATGTTTAAATTACTTTCTCCACGTTTCATAATTGATTATTTTATATTGGGAACAATTGTAATTTTTTAGCTTCATTTTTACTAATGGTAACGTGTATACGTATGTTTTATAAATATACCAATTTTAATAAATCATGATGAAATATAAAATATTAATGAAAAGTACAATAATAATAGCAAAAGAAAGAAAAAACTATTTAAAACAATGTTAATAAATTATAATAATAAAGTTTATTAATAATAATAATAAATTTTCTTATTAAAACTTTCTAATGGTAATAAGGAAACTTTATAAGTTTAATTTATAAATGATTTTAAACTTTAAATGTTATTGT